TAATTTTCACTATATAAAAGATTAACAGTAAAATTTGGACGAGATCGAAAAAAATCATTATTTTGTGTACAAATCTGATGAAACCTGTTCAATCAAAATTGAAATTTTCAAAAAACAGTCTTCAATATTAAGGTTTTTGAATAAAAGAAATCTATTTAACAAAAACACGAGATAAAACACGTACACAAGATCAGTGAACGATTCCATATATGTAACTGTGAATCTAAGATCCACACGAACAAACCATGATTCACAGATTTGAATCGATATTCGTATAGACAGCGAAATAGATGAACAGAAAGGAAGAAACATATGTTTTCTGGGAAAAAAAAAAACAAAACTTAAAACTTATTAACAACAACATCACCGTTGTGAATCAAATATACACATGAAAAAACGATCCAGATGAAAAAAAATTGATTCAGACTTTTATTTTCTACCGTTTTTTGGATCGAGGAGGAAATGAAATTCGAGGAAGAAAGGGATGAGAGAAGTGCAGATTCATTGCGGTGGAAATGAGGAAAATCCTAATTTCTCGGATTTTCTCGCCTTTTATAGTCGATATCAATGATTATTAGCCGTCCGATCAAGTGGACTATTTTAAGCCGTTGATCGAAAAAAATGATAATGTTCTGGGCATTCTTTACTTTCTTATGGGCCGTTTACATAGGAGTAAGAATTAAAAATAATTGGGCCAATTTCAATTGCCTAATGGATACTATGTCCACATGTTTATTGTTTATCAAAATAAATTTAAACCCACATTACTTTTATATACATTAGCTTACTAAAATTAATATAGATTAGCATACTAATTTCAAGCTTGGGATCAATTAATTTTTTTGAATTTAATTTTTTAATTTATTAACATATTTTCATACTTATTACATCACAACCGATTCTGTTACAAATATTTAATTGACCTACTTATATCCTAATTTTGAGTCTTTTTTTTTTCATGTATACAGGTTCTATGATATCACCGGTTGTCAAAGGATCATCTTTTATTGCTCAACGAAACAACGATCCATCGAAA